TGTTGTTGGACTTTTTTTTTTTTTTTTTTTTGGGGTGGGGGGGGGGGGGGGGGTGGTAGCATTGTTGTCGTCGTTCTCTAGTTTGTTTTGGGGGGTGGGACAATTTCCGGGCCTGGTTGAGAGGGAGAGAGTCTGAATCAATGATGGCCCGCTTGGGCCCAAGTTCCCGGGACACTTCGTCGGTCTCTCAAGATGGTACTCTCAGTCCTACCACTCAGCACGGCTCCCCCTACCCGTCCTTGTCTTCCACCCCTCTGTCCTCTCCTCCTTTGCGCAGCAGCCGAAGTACCGACACTCTTCCCAGCGAGCTTGACATGAACTCAGAGTCGGCGGATATCCCGCCCCCTTCTTCCCCCTCCCGCTCCCCCGCCCCCACCCGCGCCTCCGCCCCCGTTCCCGCCCCCGCCACCCCCCCTCCCTCCTCTCTTCCTGCCAACGCCAAGATCGAAGAGAAGATTATCATTGATACTGCACCTCCCATTTCCTCGGTCAGGGATGCAGTTAAAAATTTCGGCGCCATTCCTGACACTGTGAAGAAACCCGCAGTGACTCCCGTTCGATCTATGGTGAAGCAGGATTGGCTGACGAAGAGCTGGGGTGGAAGCAGCAGCGGGCTCTCCAGTCCTCTGAGCTCCCACAGTGCCGATGAGGAGGAGTACTCTCCGGAGGTCGTCAGGGAGGCGATGAAGAGAGTGCAAGAGCTCGAGTCCGAGCTGAAACACGCTCATGCTCAGCTGGCTATGATGAGAGAGCAGCTGGTTAATCACAAGAAGGAGCTGGAGGAGGCTGAGGCAGCTCGGTACTTCGTTGTGTCGGCGGCCAGCGAGGCCACTGCCGCGAAGATTGCCCTGGAGCGGCAGCTGGAAAGCATAAGGAAGAGCATGGAGGAGAAGTCCAGAGGGATGGAGGCAGCGAATGCTGCAATGCAGCAGACGACGGCACAAGCCCGGCAGCTGCAGGGTGAGGTGGACAGGTTGAAGAGGGATGTGGACAGCACGTCGAGGCGACTCAAGGCGGCCATGGAAGCTCTGGATGCTGCCAGGGAGGCCAAGGAGGAGGCTGATCAGCTGGTGGAGGAGTACAAAAAAATGCTGACCCAAGAGTTGGACCTGCAGAAGAAGGGCGACGACGAGAAGGCAAAGAAGTGGAAACTGGCCTTGGAGAGTGCGGACAGGCAGTACAGAGAGGCGGTGGAGCAAGTGCGGGCCCTGCAGCAAGCGCTGGAGGACGCAAGAGAGGAGCACCGCGCTGCGCAGGACAAGTCTCTGCGGCTCGAGAAGGAGTACGAGATCGTCAAGGAGCAGCACAAGGCGGCCATGGAGGGAGCCATGAAGCTGCGGCAAGCTCTGAACGAGGTGAAGGAGGAGCAGAGGGAGACAATGGACGGGGCCAGCAGCTTGCAGGTTGACCTGATAGAGGCCAAGGAGAAGCATGCTATGGTGGAGAAGAGGGTGGCGGGGATGCAGGCGGAGCTGGAGAGGCTGAGAGAGGAGCTGAGGTCGGCGGAGGAGAGGGAGAGGAGGCTGCAGAAGGAGGTGGAAGAGGTGAGAAGGGTCAAGGAGGTGGTTAAGGGCGAGGACGAAGGGAGGAAGCGGATGGTCGATTCGCTTATGGAGAAGCTGGAGATGGTGCAGCAAGCCAGGGCGGAGGCGGAGGAGAGGGAGCAGAGAGCGGAGGTGGAGGCGAGGATGGCAAGAGTCGCAGAGGCAAGGGCCAAGGCCATGGCCGGCGCTGCGGAAAGCCGCATGATGGCGGCGATGAAGGAGTCGGAGATGCGACTGGCAGCGGCCATCGAGGAGGCGGAGAGCCGAGTTGCTGCCGCGCAGAGGGAGGTGGTCGCCTCCCGACAGTCTGAAGCCAAGGCCACAGCCATGGCCGAGGCCATGCGGAAGGAGATGATAGAAGAGAGGAGGAAGTATCAAACTGCAACGGCGGAGGCCGAAGAGGTGAGCAATCTCGCGAAAATGGCCAAGGAAGAGATGGAATTGACCACCCAGAGAAGCAGGGAGGTGGAGGACAGAGCAGAGGCCAGGAATCGCGAGTTGAAGCTGCAGCTGCAGGGCTCCGACGAGCAGGTGAGGACGCTGAAGGACGAAATTGAGTCACTGAAGTCGCAAGCTCAGTCCTTGACAACGCAGCTGGAAAGCGTGACAGAAAAGACTGAGGAAGAAGCAAGGAGGGCAGACGAAGCGGCGGGGGAGATTCAGAATCTGCGGCGAGAGATCCGCGAGGCGAAGGCCAGGGAGAAGGAGGCGCTGGAGAAAGCGGACAGAGCGGAGACGGAGATGCTGGTGGTGGAGGGGCAGTTGAGAGTATGGAGGTCCGATGCAGAGAAACACAGGAGTAGTAGCAAAAGGCATTTGCGCGAAAAAGCCGCCAGCAATGGTACCATCTGGGCGCGGGACGTAGATGACCCTCTGGTGGACCACCACCAGCAGCAGCAAAGGGGTTCCCAGGGGCAACTACCGGTAGTAGGGACCAACAGCCTGGAAGATAGTCGTTCTCACAACTCCCCCAAGAATGGGGTCGTTGCCACCATTGCGAGGTCGGGACAGCTAGGAGTTGGAGAGGATAGGGATCCCAAGCTCAGTCGGAGATATTCCAGAGCTCTCTCAAGACAAGTATCCCGACAACCGCGCTGCACGCGCTGTGCTGTTCAATAGCCTCCCCCTTTATGCCTCCCTCCTTCCGCTCCTCCCCCCCCCNCCCCCCCCCCCCCCCCCCCCCCCCACCACCCCGCCTCACGTAACGTGCTTGGCTTGACTGAGACCGAGCTGCATCCAGATCCTGATCGATTGATCGATCAGTGTAGGAAGCGGAGACCTTTATGTACAGGTACAGATTGTCATTGGGAGCAATTTAAGTCCACATCCAACACACAAGTTATATATATATATATAATCTATACATATATGCTGTCTGTGTTGATTGAACTCTTTGGGCCGTTCCGATCGTCTTTAGTACGTGCCTGAGAATTATCTTCCATTTCTCTCTCTCTGCAGCCACAAAGACACAGCTGGGGCAGCTGTGGATCCTCCTCGTCCCCCCCTCCCTCCCACCCACAACAACCCCTCCCTCCTCCTCCATCCCCCAACTCCACTGCCCCCCAACCCTGACCCCTTCCCCTTTCTCCCCGAGTCATCCTTGGTGGGAGCAGCTGTCAAGACCCCTGCAAGCCTGTCGTAACCGACGGGTTGAACGCGGATATGGGCAGGCAGGTTCAAAGGCAAGGTGGGCGTAGTGTAATGCCTGTGCAAGCATGCGCTTCAAGTTGGGCGGCTTGGCGGAGGGCGGAACAGCTGGTTTATAGGGTGGGTGGCATTGCAATAATACCCCTGCCCTTCTAACATTCCTTTGTATCCAGTGTTTCAGACTCTTCGTATCTGGTCTTTCGGATTCTTCTCCTGTTTCCCTGAGAGTTGGATTGAGAGAGCTTTTGCGACGAGCACTTCAGAAAGCGCAGCTGGCATTCCAGGTTGTAACACCGCACTGCTGCCAGTTTGGCAGCAGGTCGAGGGTCAAGTGATCGATTACTAGGTTGAGGGATCGTTGATTCCTAGGTCGAGGGATCGTCGATTCCTAGCCTATCTTCTTCTGCAGTCTGAAGCAAGACCATCCATTGGCACTGCCGTTCAGACCACCACTGCCTTCAGAAGTGCAGAGCAAACTTGTCCGGCCTGATTTTCAAAAGACTCTGGACCTCTGAAGTATGAGGGGGTTGGGCCTAGCGTTAACCAGAATGTTTTTGGTTCCCCAATTGGCGGAACGGACTCCCAGCGGCCGAACCCCCAAGACACCCCCTCCCCCTTCCCCCTTCCTCCCCCCGTTCTGACCCCCTTCTCTAGTGGCACATTCTCCAGTGGGGCTGCAGGTCGCACCGAATCAGATGTTTGAGATTTACTAATTCCATCCGAGCTGGGCATTCACTTTCCTGCAGGTGGTAGTGCCTTGCTCCACTGCAAATCACTCCACATGTGTTTGGACCACAATGTGGACCAGATACATTTCAGACTGATGAAACATCTTGAATGTACTGTGGCCGTTTCCGGCTGCAGATACATTTCAAATGTTGTGCAGTGGAGCGAGGCCCTTAGACAAGGGTTTGTGTCTGGACCCCCCCTCAGACATTCTGACCATCTCACAGTTCGACAGCCCATGCCCTGTGAGAGATGAGTACTATTGCTCCTCCTATTGTTGTGCCTGGCAAAGAGGTCCACAGAGCCAGCAAGATGAGGCGGGAGTGGGTCGGTGCGCATACATCCCTGGCCACCCCTTCTGTAAACCACCACCTCTCCTCCCCTCCCCCCTCGCCCCGTGCACCTCGCCCTCCCTCCCCCCCCTCTTGCTCTCCTCCTCTCAAGATGCTGACACTATTTATTTATTTTGCTCCATTTCTTCTTTTTTTTTAAAACATTTTTCGGGATCAGTTCCGTTCCTTGTGAATCAGCAATCCATCATCAGCGTTGACTGTCTAGGCTGCGCGCTGGATGGCCATTCTTCCTTCCTCTGACTTGTTGAGTCTCTGACACGCTGCCGACATCAGTCCTGCTGAATAATCGTGTAAACTAAGCCCACATGCATCCAGGTCCGGTTAGTTACAGGTAGGAAGAACCTGTCCAGCTTGATGGTCAGATGCATCCAGGTCTGGATAGCTAGTACTGATCTATTGGAAAGTAAGATAGGTGAGTCCGAAGGCTCAGAGAGTCGCCACGTTAACCCACCAGTACACCCGGGCCTGCAGTCGCTGCACTTTTTCTTTGAAAAAAAAAGTGCGCCAAAGCTCTCCCGAACCGCCAGCAGCGCGCTTTTTTTTTACCAAAAAGTGTGTTCCTTTTTTGGGTGGCGCCGCCGTCCATTGTCTCATCAGGCAGCCCCGCCCGAGCCCCATATATAGTGAGTTTCGGACTCTGAAGCTCGCTATTTTCTGTGCTTATGGCAGCTGAATGAGTCAGATCCTTCTTACACTAGCGCTTTCCTAGCTGTATCTGACCGCAATCACAGCCGGACCTGGATGCATCTGACCGCAATGCTTATCACGTTCGGAGCTCAGTTGAGAAAACTCCTACACTATAGTGCGAGTATGAATGCCCTCAGAAGACTCGGAATCACTCTACTGCAGCTGTTGTTGTTGTTGTTGTCTATTTATAACTTATATGACTTCTTTCGCTTTCGACATTAGCGTGCAAGAACTGTTGCAGCTGAATGAGTCCGAAAAGTTCAACTCAGAAGCACGACATTGCCGACCGGACTGATGGTTTCTCCTGTGTTGTTTGTGTGTCTTTTTTTTTTTTTTTTGGGGGGGGGGGTATGACTGCAAAGGTATATCTGGTGCGGATTATGCTCCAGAGTCCAGATCGAACCGGTCCTCGCATTTCTTCTGTCAAAGTCTGGGTAAAAAAAACCTGATAACTATTCGGTGTTTTGAACTGTTTTCTCCCCTTTCACAGCGAAAAGAGCGTGTATGCATGTGTGCATCTGTCTTTCATGGCGAAAAAAAAAGATCGTTAAGCGCTTTGTGCTGCAGCAATCTCGATCGCACAGATTGTGCCTGCGCATGGCAGGCGGGTGCGGATCCAAGGTTTTCGTTTGCGCATCTCGGACAGACAGCTTACGCCCGCATTTCATCCTCGGGGTCTACCCCTGCATCCCAACTGCCACATTTTCTATAGCCCCTTGTAGCCGCCGCGTCTTTCAACGGGTGTTCTGCTGCAATCTTTTCGAGACAGGGTCGACATGCATGGCTGCCGATGGAGGCACAACCTGTCTTCGAAGACGAAGAGCCGAACGTCCTCTGCTTCTTCCCGCCCACCCCTCCTCCCCTAGCGGCCCCTTCAGACGGGCAACCCTTTTTGGACCCTTTAGTCCATCATTTGTCAATAAAGGGCTTCTAGTAACCCCTTTTTGCCTGTTGCCTGTCGGATCGGCTGGTGCTTCGCCGCGGCTTAGCTCCACGATCAATTGGAACAACGCCATCGGGAGTAGTTGTTGCTCATCTGGGTACTGAACTTCTTCCCCTCTCCCTCCCCCTCCCCTTTCCCAGGTTCCCCTCCCCTCTCCTTCCCTTTTCTCCTTTGCCCCTCTCCTCTCCTTGCTTCATAAGAGAAGGTAGACTCTTGAGCCCCTTTCATGCTTCTTTATCGACTGATATTCTCTTCGAGGTTGGCTGGTGTGGTCAGCCCAACGGGTCATTGAATCTTTCTTTCGATGCTGAGCACCTAGACAGATTCGGTCACTGAGCTCTGACTAGGGATGCACAGGAGATGAAAAGAGAGTTATGTACACTAACTGATAAGGACGATCGTTTTGTCCGAATGCTTTTTGTTTTTCCTCTTTCTTTCCCTTTTGTTTGAAGGCCATCCTCGATTCCATATATCAACATCTGTTTTGACTCTTCTCTCAATCGCGTCCAGATTCAATGCACTGAGCACTGACCAGGGAATCTGATGTGCACCACATAAAGCGGCTGAACTCGGTATTTCCTGACTCCTTTTTCTTCGTCCTTTTATTTTTTTAATTTTTTTTTAACAACTTTTTCCCCCCTTTGTCCTTCGGATGGGACATCCTTGATCCCAAAGGTCCCGCTTCCGCTGTCCCGAGGCAGTAGCCCAGGACTCAGCAGACTGAGCACGGAACTTCAGTGGACGTACTCGTTTTAACTTACGGCAGGTCGCTCTAAATGCAGCTCTATTACTGAGCACGCTCCCTTTTTCACTGCAGTAAGTTAAACGAGTTCGCTCACTGAGTCAGTAGCCCAAGGCGTCAGTGAACGAACTTGTTACTGCAGTGAAAAAGTGAACGAACTTGTTACTGCAGTGAAAACGTGAACGAACTTGTTACTGCAGTGAAAAAGTGAACGAACTTGTTACTGCAGTGAAAAAGTGAACGAACTTGTTACTGCAGTGAAAAAGTGAACGAACTTGTTACTGCAGTGAAAAAGTGAACTTGTTACTGCAGCTCGCTCCCTTTGTCACTGCAGTAAGTAGACATACATGTTACGGCTGCTTGCTCCGTCTTATCCTAGTACCTCGTACCTCTCTCTCACCTCCCGCTCTGATGACAGTTAGGTCTGTTGCTCGCTTGAGTTGTTCCCTGGGACTTTCTTCTTCCTCATCGGTTATTCAGACTTATTCTCCTTTGCAACAATGTTTCCGAGAGCTGTTTTTTTTTTTTTTTTTTTGGGGCATGGGCATTGTCTTGAGAGGTCGTGGCCTGTGTTTTGTAGAGGACGGGCTGCTTGATGTCTGAGGTCAGCGACGACGAGGACGACAATGAGGACGACAACGATGTCTTAAGTGCTTTTGTTGGGGGTCGATGTTTCTCTCAAAGTCCCAATTTTGTGAATTTCTGGCTTCTGTGCGGTCTTTGAACTTAGTTGCAGTGAATAAAATGATCTAATCGCAGAAAACTATTCCAGATCCGAGAGGTCCCAAGGGCAGGTGGTACCAGGCAAGATGGTATCAGGCAGGTGGTACCAGGCAAGGTAGTACCATTCAAGGGGGTACCAGGCAAGGTGGTACCAGGCAGGTGGTACCAGGCAGCAGTTGATGTGCAAGCAGGAGCTGTCCGACTTCTTGTCGTCATGGTGTGTAGTGAGTGCTATTGTATGGTCATTCCCAGATTAGGAATGGAGTCTATACTCTAGTCTCTAGAGTATTTATTTTTGTGGATCATGACTAAGGGTAGGAGAGAGAGAGAGAGAGAGAGAGAGAGAGAGAGAGAGAGAGAGAGAGAGAGAGAGAGAGAGAGAGAGAGAGAGAGAGAGAGAGAGAGCATGGCATGAGTTGGGGGGTACTAGAGAGTAGGAGAAGAGGAAAGGGAGGGCGGTGGGGGGCGATGAGGAAGAGGGTCAGGGTCATGGGCGGCCTTGCGAAGAACCCCTGGGCTTATGAACTTCACTTCTTGCGAAGGGTCTGTGATTTTGAGGTCAATCGGATGGAGGGCAGTCCGGATGTCGTATTTGAGTGCTTTGTTTGTTCAGGCAGCGTCAGGCATGTTTGCGCACATGCTTGTGCTGTCCTCTCTGCACTCAAATTCATCACTCAGAATTCTCTGTATGACAGTTACCTTGTTCTCGCCGCCTCTGGCAGCAGAAAAAAGGAGTGAAAGAATCTTGAACAGATGTGCCGCCGATGTGCCAGTGCGCTACAAACTCAACAGAGAACATCGCGGGGAGGAGATGAGGTCTTCGGGAGAAGAGGGAGCGAGAGGATGGAGCGTGATCGGGAGGAAGAGGAGGGAGCGTCATCGGGAGGAAGAGGAGGGGGCAGGATTGGGAGGAAAGAACATGACCGGGAAGGAGGGGAGCTCCCCAGGGAGCAAAGCAGCAAGTATGGCAGGTTCCTTCTTTGAAACTTCTGCGTACTTTCGAGGAAACTAACTAAACAAGAGCACATTGCTTCTTTCTCTGAAACTTCTGTGAGCTTTCTACTGAGTCTTGTCTGTAGGATGATGAAAGGAAGATGAGTGCAGCTTCCGGGCCGGGCGACGATCAGATGCAGTTTCTTTGAACGTTCCGGGAAGCTTCCATCAAGTGTTCTGCCTTGAACAAGGAAAGAACGATGAGAAGAGCGCGGCTTTGAGGCTGGCAGTTGGATATGCCGAATCGGATATTGATTTGCTGGAGGTAGATTTTTTTATTTTTTTTATTTTTTTGTATAGGTGTGATTGCTGGGGTTGGAGAAGAGAGAGCGAGGGAGGAGGGAGGAGGGAGGAAAGGAGTGTAGCAGTAGAAGACGAGCTTGTGTTTTGCTTTGTTTGCTGTTCCTGATTGATGAAGGGAGAAAAAGACCTGATGGTGGGTGTCACAAGACATGGCAGTCGTGAGGAAGTGAACACTACAGGCAGGACTCTAGCAGAAGAACGACTGAACGACAACAAATTTTTCACATGTTTGGTACTTCTGGTGGTTGAGCAAAGAGAGAGAGGAGTCAATGCACGCAATTTGGCGGTCGGTCGGTCGGGAATTTGACCATTTCATGGCAGGATTGAGTGTCACTGTTGATTGCGCATGGAGAATGAATGTGTGTGTGTCGTGTGTGTGTGTAGCATGTGTGTGTGTGTGTGTGTGTGTGTGTGTGTGAGAGAGAGAGAGAGAGAGAGAGAGAGAGAGAGAGAGAGAGAGAGAGAGAGAGAGAGAGA